GTTCCTGCCCGGTCCCCTCGTGTGCCACCTCTCCCTCCTCGGCTTCCTTTCCCTTCTCGCCTGGCACATGGGACGGGGAAGGGCAGGGAAGTCTGCGGGCCCTCCTGGGATGGGCTTTTCCTGCTCTTCGCTTTGCTGCAGGCCCTAATGTCAGGACACGATTCCTCGCTACTGATTAAAGGTTTCCTCTGCCAAGTGAACCGAGCTGAGCTCGGTGGAAAGCTGCTAAAGGACGGCCTGACTCTGGGGTCCCATGGTCGGGGATGGGGAAGCCGTGGCTCCACCGAGGGCTGTGGAATTCAGCCCCGAGGCGTTAGAAACTTTTGTGTTCAGGGTTTTGTTAAAAACGCATTGTCAGTGACCGTGGGTTGTTAATAATTCACAGTGAACGTCTGAGTCCCGCGGGGCTGGAGTGTGTCTGTCTGTCTGCACGCAGAGATGCACCGGCTCTTTGAGACGCTCCAAATCGAGATGGCAGCTCGCTCTCTTAAAGCATGCTGATACGATTTTAAAAGCCTGAATGACCTTAAATCCTGCGATGGCTGTCTTTCAGGATAAATTATTTATGTCGCATCTTCAGTGCTGCCAAAGCCCTCGCTCCTCAGGAATGGGCAGAAATGTCAGGCTTCGGAGGATGAGCTCCGAGTTTGGAAGCGCTGCGCTCAGGTTAAAGAGGAACTGAGGGTTTGGATGGGAAGAGGTGGAAGATAAAGGCGCCTTGCGAGGTGGGGGCGGGAGGAAGGGTGTTTCAGAGGTCCAGCCTTGGAAGTCGTCCCCAAACCGGTGCAGCCGCATTCTGCAGCCGACATCAGAGGGCTGGAAATTCCTCTTGATCTGCAGTTCAAAGCCGCTGCCTCCCTGAGGATGAAGCGCTTCATCTCGGGTTTGCAAATGCAGGCTCACCGCGGCAGCGAGCGTAGCTGTGAAATACAAATCCGCCACGGCGCCCAAATCCCCCTGAAAAGCGAGGAAACGCGCTTACGGCGTCTGAAGGTCACTGCTGCCTGTCCTGCTAAAAAAGCAAACCCCCCTGAGGGATGAGAAGAATCCAGGGCTGCTTGCTGGAGAAGGCATTTCATTTCCCTTCACGGCAAATGGGGACTTGAAAAACGCCTGAAAAATGTGGCGTGTAGTCCTGTCCAGGCCAGACCTGGCTAATTCAGCTGTTTTACGTGAGAGGCGGGCTGCTGAATGTAACGTTCTTGGGTTTTAATAGTGTTTTGAACCCAGGGTTGGCAGGGGAGGGCTGATTCGAAACCCTGCAGGACTGCCCCGAAGTTGGTGCTGCCGTGGGGTGAGGGGTGCTGAGGTCATGGTGGGGTCCAGCGTGGCTGCTGAGCAGCAGCTCTGGAAACAGCTGGGTCACCTCGATTTCGGTGAACTCTCCTCCAAAGTGATAGCTTTTCACACGTTGTTTTCCCCCCCGTTTTCTCACAGCTTTCTTGGTTTTTGTTTTTTATTTTGAAAGGAAAGCTAATGTGCAAACCTGCCCCTCCTGGCTTAACCGAAGACGAGCTCTCCTCTGCGCTTTGATCTAGCGGGTGTCTCTCTCGCTGCACTGATTCAGGTCTTTCAAACCACTTTCCCTGCAAGCGCAGTGAGCTGCCGCCGCGGCATCTGGAGCTCTCAAAGGCTCAGATCTGGCTTGGTGAAAGGATCCCTGGTAACGAAGAACAAAGGAGAAGAAATGCAGAGAAGTCGGCTGTCGGAGCAGCAGTGTTTCAAAGGGCATGGTTTCCGTAAGGCATGGGGTGGTCAGCAGTGCTGGGAGAACCCCCCCCCCAGATAAAGATTGTGTCTCCCTAATCTGTATCAGCTGTGTCTGTCTTCATGAAAATTTAAGATCTAGGCTTTATTTTCAAGACAGGCACAGATCACTCCAGTGTTCCTACCCAGAGGTCTCGGTTTTTCTCGTGGTATGAAATAATCAGCAGCCACCATGTGCTGAGTTCGGTGCCTCTTGATTTTGGTTTTTCAATGTGACCTTTGCTGTTAATCCACAACCTGAATGGGGCTGTGTGCTGAAACGAAATGACCTGTTTCTGGGCAATTCAGCTCCAGTTTATCCTCAAGCTGCTTTAGCTTAAACTCTTCTCTCCCCTCCTCTCTCGCTCTTCTAGGTCAGAGCCTTTATCTGAATGCAGGTTTCGGTGCAGCACTAGTTTTAAGCGCATGTTAGATATGGGGAGATAATGACTCATGGTTTTCTTTGTAGAAATACCCCTTTCTGGCTGTGCTTACAGGAGGTAATGTTGCTGTGGGATTGTCCCTAGCCGCTCCGTCTGACACAGGGCTTACGTGGGGGGCAGCAGGGCAAACGGGGGGACTCGAGCAGCGTGCTTCCCTTGTAAACGTGGCACTGACTTGTTTTCTGACAGCCGACAAACCCTCACGTACGGCGAGGCGGTGTGACCCTGTCGTGGGAGTATCTGAAAGGGCTCCTGTGACCCCAAGTGCCGTCGAGGTGCAGAGCTGGGTGGGAAACGTCACCCTGTGAGTAACCAGCTGGAGCAGGAGCGTAACAGGGAGGTGATGTGGGTGTTTCTGTTCCTGTGGGTCGGGAGCAGAGGTGACGGCCCGCAGCACTGGCACCGTTCCTGTGCTGGCTCAAGCCTGTGACACATGAGACCGAGTCAGGAGTCTCATTACCTGGCATGTTTCTCAGCTGTATCTCTGCTAATTACCTCCAGCTGCTGGTGTTCAAACAAGGCCGGGGCTCTCCTGCCTGTCCCCTCCCGTCGGTCATGCCGCGACGCCGTCACGCCATCCCCCCGACGTCACGCTCTGCCCTGGCAGCAGCTTGCGCCGTCCTGGCCCTGTGATCCCGCTGCAGGGTGGGAAGGAGCATGGGGGAAAAGCGCTCCTGTTGCAACACGTCCTGGCAGCGCCAGCAGGTCCCAGACGAGCACGTTATGAGCTGTCTCTGATCTTGTTTCGGTGGGAAAGGTACAGGCTGAATGGGTATGCCGGGCTTCGTTCCAGTCTGCGGAGCATCCTGGCGTGGTGGGGACTGGTGGCACAAGGGGCTGAAGGAGAAATTACCGGACGTTGGCTCTTCTGTGCGAGGCTCCCAGCTCGGTCCGGAGCAAAGCAGCACCGTGCGTGTCAGGGGAAGGTGTGTTTTCGAGAGGCAGGGGTGAGGTGGCTGCCCCGGTGAGGTGGACGAGGACCCACCGAGTCACGGTGGGTTTGAGCTCGCGCCGTTCCCTGGCTCCGCAGAGGTGTGGCAGGTGCCACCGGAGAACCTGAGGTCTTGAGTGACTTAGAAAACACCAGAAGATAGAGGGAGGAACATCTTCCCAATGAGGGTGTCTGTAGTTGGGAAGTTTCTCACTCGGTAGAAGAGCTGCTTTTAATTAAAAGGTGATTTATGTATTTATTTTCCTGAACTGCAGAGAGCTGGTGGTTTGCTTGAGGGCAGGGGAGCCGCTGGCATCGCAGCGATGCTGCTGGTCCGTTTTTCCTGTTCTCAGACCTCTGCTGTGACAGGGAGTGGTAATGTCTGACACGTGAGGACGGACCTGGTCTTATCCTGGCCTCCGTGTACCGTGGCATCAGTAAATTGTAGTTTATCTAGTCGAAGGTGAGTCTCAGACGGGATCTGGATTTTAATACCTGATACAAACCATTTCAAAGGTCATGGGCACCTGGGTTTCAGTGCCTGGGTCGTAAAGAAGCTTTCACTGTCGTGGATATATCTGTGACCTCTCTGGTCACTTGCCCTGGGGGTCGGGGATCAGAAGTCGGAAGCTTCAGGTGTGAAACTATCCTGTTCTTACCTGGTGTTGGCATTGTGGTCCCCTTCAGTGGTTAAGGAACAGGTTTTCCTGGGGGAGAGACATCTGCGGCCTGGAGAGGGGCATTTATCCCCTGCCTCTCGGTCTGCCCCGAGCACCCGAAACTCCTGGGGTGGCGAGTGAGGCCTCCAGTCATCACATTCCTATTCCCTGAGCGGGTGCTGCCAGGACGGCCCTACCTGCGCGCTGCTGTCAGAGGCACGAGCGTGCCAGGGGCCCGTCCTGTGATCTCCCGGTGATTCAGTCTCCTCTTCCTGTCCCCACTTCCTCCGTGCTGAGTCTCCGGTGCCGACCGGAGCTGCCGGGCTCTGCGGAGCCCCACCGGCAATGCGCTGCGCTGGCTGGGAGCTGTTCTGGGTAAGCCGTGGTGCGGGACAGATTTGTTTTGGGCTTGTGAGGAGATGGATTGAAATGTAATCAGATCGATGTTCGGAAAGCTTGTTTCGCTGCCTGCTTGGACAGCTTCAAGGGGGGCTTGGAGTTGTGGAGATGGAGTGGGGCGCAGCCAGCCTTCAGAGCGTTGGGAGGTTGTCGAGGTAGGATCAGAGTGGTTTGGAAAAATCTGCCTTATCTGTCAGGGCTGTTTGGGGACGGGAACGTCTCTCCGTGTGCGAGCCACAGGACAGCACCGTGCCGCTTCATCTGCCTTCTGCTCGGCGGTCCGTCTGGCAGATTTAACGGCGTTCGTGGCTGGAGGGGCCTGCTGAGGATTTGTGCCAGGGCTGGCCGTGGTGCCTGCTGATGGGCTGTAGGCTTTGGGCTCCTGTCGCACTTCCATGTGAGCAGCCTCCGGCTGCAGATAAAGGAGCTGGATTGATGGCGCAGGATTAGCTTTGCCGGGTTTTCTCTGCTGAGCGAGGCGGTCGCGTGAAAAACGTCCTGGGTTTCAGCTGCAGGCTCTGTGCTGGTGTGGGGGCCCTGGTGATTTGGGGCGGGGGGTC